AGCATGTTTGGTATAAATTTTAATCCAATTAACATCAATTTTTTTATCGTTATTTCACTATTTCAGCCATCATTTTTGAATTCTTCTCTCACAGGTAGGACCCACTTTATCTTTAACGGGCAAAAAATCAATTAACAAAATTCCTACCAAACAAACACTAACTTTGTTCTGCTCGACCAATTGCTACTTCTCCATGTTTCTTTGGCCATGCCTACTTTAATTTTTTGCACTTTATGACATGAATCATTCTCCAACTTGTTTAGAGTACAATTAACAAAATATTAACTCTATGTTTTTAAATGAGATTAATAATTATAAAATGAGATTAATAGGTAAATTTAAAAATTTATGCTAACCCAAAAAATAAAACTTATCGATTCGAACTCTACGCTTTGTCTATATTGATGAAATGCCAAAAGTGAAGGCAAGTAGACATCATAAGCAAGTTGGCAAATATTAATTGTCATTTGTCACCCATTAAATGGTTGTCTATTTTAGGATCCATCAATCATTGTCGGGTAATTGATATTTTAATAAAATAAAACATTAATAATGCTACAAATATTGTGACTAAGTTCGCAGCGTCGCATCGCCACGTGTACTGTACGTGGAATTTATTGAAGTGGTCATATTCTGATAAATTCGAAAGCTAACGGTAAAAAGGTTATAGTTTGTATTCGGTCAAGATTTTCAATGATACATTTAAACCACGTTTGATAGTAATTTTTCATCCCAAAAAATTAATTTTTTAATCATTATTTTACTATTTCAATCGTCATTTTTTACTTTTACTCTCACAGGTGAAATCCACATTTCTATCTAACGGTCAAAAAATCAATTCTCAAAACACTATCAAACATGCTTCTGTTCAATAAGAATTAAAATCATATTTTGAATAGATTTTGATTGAAATTAATGAAATGAAAAATAAAAAAATTATGTAACTCATAAAATATGTTATTTAAATTGATTGTTAACTTTGATTTTGATTTTAATTGATACCAAATAGGAGACAAGAATGATTTTTTTTTTTTAAGAATGTATGTCGATTTAAAAAGTAAGAAATTTACAGTTCACGTGCAAAAGATTTTAACTGAAAGAATCTATAGCTTGTGTTTGTAGGAATTAAAATTTAGATTTCAATTTAATTCAAAGTCAACAACTCATTATCAATAACTTTTCAATCATATATTTCATTAATTTATATCAAAATCTTCTAAATTTTTTATTTTAATTCCCACCAAACAGAGATATAATATAAAATGAATTTTATAAAATAAGAATCGACTAGGGACGAAGACAATTTCAATTACATGTTATGAATAATACTATCAATTCATAGTGGTTTTAAGTATTATTTTGTTGGATACTGAGATGTATTTCTATTGCAAAATTATTTTTCAAGTGGACGATATTTTATACAAGAAATGTATGATGAGTAGAGTGTTAAACTCATGATAATTATACTTATTAACTCTAATTAACTCCTTGTTTGAACCCCATTTTGATAAGAAAATATATTTTGAAATAGTAATTTTTTTAGATAATGTATAGTTAAAAAAAGTTTTTGATTTAAGTATAAATTATTTTATGGGAGAATGTGTAGTTAAAAATGAGTTTTTGAAAAATAAATTTTGAAAAAATATGGGTGCAAACATAGGCTAAAAGTAAAAATTATGAAGAATGTCCATTTCTCAAATGCCATCTTGAAAAATGACATAATAATAATAATAATAATAATAATAATAATAATAATAATAATAATAATAATAATAAATAAATAAATTTGATTGATTTGCATCTAGGGTAATTATATTGCCACAACAAAAATTTTTGTGGCGCCGCATTTTTAAATATTTTTTTATTTATAAAAATGAACATTAATAAAATGACAAAAATAACCTCTAAATTATTTCTTTCTATGTTTTTAAAAGCAATATCCATTTTCTTTGATTCCTGCACACACCACAGTTCTCATGGCACCACAATTCCGTCTGTTTTTTCTTTTTTCATTCTTCTACACGTAGAAAGCGGATGCCGATTGTAGAAGCAGATTTCTTATTAATTTCTCCATAAACATTCTTTTTTGTTGCTCCATGTATTGTTATTAACTACATAATTTATTTACTTTTTAATAAAATAAATTATTATTCCACCACAAACATAAATTTAGTATTTTTTTTTCTTTTTCTTTTATTTTTTTTTTCTTTTTGCAATTAAGAGTCTTCTGTCTCTATGATACCACAAGTAAACGATTTATCAATTTGTTTAACCTCTAGAAGTTTTTATCTGTTTTTGATTCCTTATATATGTTCACACAATTCGACTTGGAGATAATTTCATGTCCTTCTCGGTTAGGATTGATATGTTTTCTCATCGAATTATAACATATTTAGTTTAACAAAAATGGATGCAGCTATTGCCAGGATTTCAACTGAATTCTTGAAAACTATCCTTAGTCAACAAGAAGTTTTTATTTTTATATTATATTTTTTACATGATCGTAATATATTTAAGTTTCTATAACTTGCCATAATCAATTCCTTTTTTTTTTCTTTTTTTTTTTTTAATGTTAGGAAAATGATGACGACTTCATTAGGCCAAGTATGAATAAAGCAAATGTTGAATATATGTGTACAATATTCAACTCTTGTTACACTTTTTTGTAATTATATCTTTTTAATATTGATGGTGTAGGTATTTCACAATCGAGATTCATTATCTAATTGGGTTTGCATGGTTGGGAAGGAGTTTGATTTGATTATTGTTATAATACCTTCTAAGCGTGGTAGGTATGGACGCAAGCCTCGTATATTGTATGGGTGTGAGTTTAGTGGAAAATATAGAGAACATAATTATCATTCTGATCGTTCATTGAAACAAAAGAGATTTGTTGGAACACAAAAGTGTGAGTATCCATTTGATCTAAATGGAATGAAGTCGATGTCGACAAATGAGCACAATTAGAAGTTAAAAGTATTATGTGTACTACATAATCACTCAGCGACACAGCATTTGGAAGGACATCCTTATGTGGCTAGATTAACTAATGAAGAGGAGAATATTTTAATAGATATGTCAAAAAAATTGGTAAAAACTAGGAACATATTGATGACTTTGAAAGAACGGGATCCAAATAACGTCAATATAATGTGAACTATTTACAACGCACATGAAAAACATAGATTGATCGAGAAGGCAGGAAAAATGCAAATGCAACAGTTACTGAGCAAGTTAAAGAACACAATTATATTGAGTGATACAGGTCTCATGAAAAAAACAAATGAAGTTAGAGACTCTTTTTTTGCACATCCGACATCTGTCGATTTTTTACATGCCTTTTCATGTGTACTTATAATGGATTGTACTTACAAAACCACCAGGTATCGATGCTCTCTTTTTGAGATTATTGGGGTTACTTCAACCCTGATAATATTTTCTATTGCTTTCATGTTCATGGAAATTGAACGGGAAGAAAACTATACTTGGGCAATGGAAAAGTTGAAAACC